AGGTGCGACGCCGGTGAGCGTGGGGTGCGCGGGCTCCGGGGCGCTCGGGGTCCTGCAGGGTCAACTGGGCTCCTGTGCAGCTCCTTCTCCTCTCCCTTCGAGCCTCTCCCAGGGGCACCCGACTCACACCGCCGATGGTCGCCCCTTGAGCGCTAGCGTCCAGGGAGCAGAGGGGGCCCCGGGTTAGAGGCCTCGCGACCCCCTCGGGTTGACCTGGCTCCAGTCCTCCCCTTGCCCCCAAGCACAAAGGGAGAGAGACCTGGCTCCTGATCAGAAGTCCCGGCCACAGCTACTGCGACGGTGGGGCGCGGGCGCCCTCCAGGAGGAAGTCCCGGGGCTCGCACGTGGAAGTCGAGCCTCGGACCGACGTGTCTGGCAGCGCAACCCAATTTCCACCGTGGGTGTCCCGGCCTGACCAGAGTAGCAGCCTCGGGGGGCGGGCCGGGGCGGGGCGGTGGGGCGGGCCTGGGGCTGGCCAGCCAACGGGTGCAAGCCATCCGGTCGGGTGGGCCCCTGCGAGTGGCCGGTTGAGCTGGAGTTTTCCCGCTTCCCCGAGGCGCAACAGGGTCAGGGCAGAGGCCAAGGGCAGGTGGGGGGCCCAGCAGGGAACCAGTTGCAGCTATGCTGGTTGGCGCCGGCTTGGTCCCCCGTAGGGGGAGGGGATGGGGGACACTAAGGCCCAGTGCCTCTGCCCCAGAAGTGGCTTCCAACTAATCGCTGGGCCATCCTTGGCGGCCTCATGTGCATAATGACCTCAGCTGAGCCACTGTGGGATGCCACTGAAATCGTGTAGGAAAACTAGAAACCTCCTGCTGCCTTGGGCCCAGAGCTTTGCCCAAAGTTGGCACAGGGCAGCTGCCAGGCCCCCTATTTCAGTCCTGCTTCAAGTGCACGGGCTGGGTGAAGGGGACCCAGGGCCTCTGAGCTGCCTGGCCCATGCTGGGAACTCTGCGCCTGGCCCATTGGATCTGGAGGAAAGTGGCTCCACTGGCCCTTTCCACCTGCTCCCTGCTGCCCCTGTGCTGGCTGTGGGCTCGCATTCCTGGTGTCTTGGCCCAGTCACTGTCACAGCCTGAGTGCCTCACCCGCCGTCCTCCGTGTTCTGTCCTATGTGACACCACATATTCAACAGAAGCTGGTGGCTTCAGTGCTTTCCCTGGGCACAGGTGATGGACAATTGGGACACACAGGGTCCCTGTTTGTCTGACACTCCCAGTCCAGCAGGACAGATGGACAATAAACTAAGACACCAAGCGAGATACTGGGGTGATAAACGCTCAGTCAGACAATGAAAGGAGGAGTACAGGGAGGCTTCTAGAAATTCCATCTGGCTATGAGTCCCTTTTCTGCCCAAAGCCCAACAAAAGCAAATAACAGTGTTGAAGGAAAACATATGACAGATAAGATAAAGCTCATACAAAATAATCAAAAGGTTAAGACCCTGCAGATAAAGGCTCAGGGACTTAAGAAGAGCACATGCTGCATGAAGGAAGGAATGTGATGGCGTCAAAAGTGTTTGCAGGAAGCTTTAGTTCCAGGCATGGCAGGAAATCCAACCCAAGACGGAGAGATGGAGCGAGGGGAGGAGAGGAAGGGTAACTGAGAAGAATGAAGATGTGTTCTGTGCATGTAGCACCTCCCTATTGGGAACATAATCATCATGCACTGCAAACCACTAATAAAAAATAAAACTAGGTAACAACAACCACAACAACCAACAACAGCACTTCCCACTTATTAAACCTTAGCAGACCACTCTCCAACCCTCCCAGTCTTGGAAGCTTGCTGTGCAACTGGCAGGGTTCTTATCTGGGTGGCCCTTCTGGAAATGGATCTGGCAGTGTGCACCAAGATAGACAAAAAACCCATCCCTGAAGCCACCTCTGGGAACTTCTGGAGGACTCAAGGAAAGCAAGCGCATGTACACATACAGACGGAGCCACAAGGGGAGCAAGCTTTCAGGGAAGGAAAGTGGCGCGCTCAGGATGGCCACAGGCCATGTGCGTGTCTGAGCCTGCAACTGCCTGAGACACCTGCAGTGGGGCTAGGGGGAGAAGCTGCTACAGAGAGTCACCTCCTCACTGCCTCCTAAGCCATAGGCAGCAGGTTCATCTTTGGCCTCTAGGATGTGTCCCGATGGATGCCTGCACACCAGGGCTCTGGGCAGCTGGGCTATGTCCCTGTCTCTCCTCTGATGCCTGCCCATTTCTGCTCTCTCTCCAGGCACCGCCTGCAAGCCAGCCAGCTCTGGTGGACTCAGGGGCACGGCCCCTTCCCTTTCTCAGTGTGCTCCTGGAAAAGCCTCTACCTTCCAGCTCTCCACTGCTCCCAGCCAGGCTCCACAGTGGCACCCAGCCTGAGGGCTGTGGCTGTCGGCAAGACGTTGGGGCTGGGAGCTGGAGAAGTGGATCCCACCTACCCTGTCATGGGGGCACAGCTGCCTGGAGAGAGAATCGCCCGCAGGCACTGTGAGGCTGGGTGCCCAACTGCTCCCTGGAGAGGGCTTCCAGAAAGAGGAGATGTCCCCAGGCTGGGGAGGGAGGCCAGCTCCGCAGCAGGCAAGGAAAGGGAAGCCCTGGCGCCTACAGTCCTTGTCTCCCAACACCTGTGTGGTCTCCTGCATCTGGCTCTAAACCCTTGCTGGCAGGCCTCCTGCCGCGTGTGACAAGGCGTGAGGGGTGAGGGGCACTCAGTCTCCAAAGTCACCACTCAGTGCCCGGCGCCTGCTTTGTCCGCAGCGCCAGCAACAGGACAAACGGGAACCTGTTGCCACCTCCGCACTGCAGGACCAGGGCCGCCAAGCCCCTGCCCGCACCCCTCC